TGAGTTTCTTGATGAATGACCCTCGATGATTTGCACTGCACTCGCGGCCGTTACCGATTTTTGAATACTTGATGATTTAGGTGGAATGTTGAATTCCAAGCCACGATGATTTATCGAACTACACTTATCACTTATCACTGTTACTGATTTTCTGTCGCTGATCCGGCTCGAAGGACCATGTTAAGTTTGATGGATGATGAATAAGAGCAGCGGACAGTCGTTTTATAGTTTTATTAAATAAATAACAAGTGTGTTCTAGAGCGAGTATGATATTATGACCGTTAGGTCCAGAGATTGAATATAAAGACTATGTTAACCGCTTGAAGAGTGCTTGAAGAGTGCTTGAAGAGTGAATGATGAGTAGTGAATGAATGTTCCCTGTATTCGAAGGTGGTGGTGGCCCTGGCTCCCACCCTTACGGGTGGAGAGGGGTGAAACAGGTCCCCGCCAGAGGCACTAACAATGTCCATTACGAAAATGGATGAATTGTCGATACTCTTTTCAAAATCTTTGTTGTTAGATCATTTTAATACATTAATGCCATCCTATCAGCTAACAGCAATCTCATTCATTAACTCAGTTTGAAGATTTGTTTCAGGAAGGCAAAAAGGCAAAAAAGAGCATGTAATGTAGTTATTTGTGGTGTAGCTGAAGCAAGCAATATATCCTCAGAACAACAAATTGAAAGTGACAATGCAGAAACAAATAATATTTTAAACGCACGTAATCCGTCAATTCAAACTAATAAAATCAAAGTTCAAAGAATAGGCCGTTACAGTCAGTCCAATACTCGACCAAGACCCATAAAAGTAACTCTTAGGACCGAAACTGATGTTCGCGAAGTTATTAAAAATATAAAAAATTTAAAGCAGAATGATATTTACAAAAATATTTCTATAAGTTATGATCGAACACCCAAACAAATCGAGTACTTTAAACACGTAAAACAACAATTAGTGGACAAAATAAATAATGGTGAAAAAAACCTAAAAATTAAATATATTAATGGTACTCCAAGAATCATATCTTTAAACTAAAGAATTCACCCAGTTGCATAAACTCTGTGCAGTGTTTATATCAGAACGTCAGAGGTTTACGTTCTAAGTGTGTAGAGTTCCTTAATTCTGTATGTTCAACTTAACATGACTTCGTAGCAGTTACCGAAACCTGTAACACCGGATATGTCCAACAGCGAATTATTTCCTCAGGACTACGTAATATACCGTAAAGATCGTAATTTGGAAGCTAATGGAGTATCTAAAGGCGGTGGCGCACATCTTGCAGTCAACAATCAATTTAAGTCTATTCAAATGGATCTATCACCACTCACCGACTTGATTCCAATGGTAGATACTGTTGGAGTTAAAATTACCAGCAAATCTAATATAAAATTACTAATATTTGTATTATATATGCCTCCGTCAATTACTTTCGAAGATTTCGATTTGTTTTTTGATACTTTTATTAACTTGCATCTAATCCAAAATGAAAAAAAATGATTTTTGGAGATTTTAATACACCAAATTTCGTTTTGGACCCCAAAAACCGCATGAGTATTGTGTTTAACAAGTTTAAGGAGTTTTATAACACTTCACAACAAAATAACATAAATAATAGTTTTGGCCATATACTGGACCTGATCTTTGCCAATTTCAATTGTAGTATTGCGACAGCTAAAGATACATTAGTTAAAGAAGATCTCCACCATCCTGCACTTAGTGTAGAGTTTACTTTATCAGACGAATTCTATAAAAAATTGGGGTTAAACACTCAAATAAAATCATCTAATTTTAGGAAAGCTAACTATCCATTAATGTATAGTTTACTATCTACAGTAGATTGGTCTTTTTTGGATCGGGAAAACGATATCAACATTGCTTGCTGCTAGTTTTACAACACTTTGAACAGGATACTTGATATTGCTGTTCCCAAATACCGCTTTACATTTGGAACTCGTAAACGCTATCCATGGTTTGACTCCGAAATAAAAAAAATGTATTCAAGACAAATCCTTGGCACACCGTAGATTCAAAAAGTATGGAACAGATTATTATTACGATATATTCAAAAACTATAGATCACTTCTACAAAATTTAATAAGTGCTGCTTATAAAAATTACATGTTACACATCGAAAGTCAACTAAATACTGACCCAAAAAAAAATTGGACATTCATTAATAGCAGAAAAGGTCATTCAAGAATTCCTGGTTTAATGAAATATAATGATGCGGAACTAAATACGCCAGACTCTATTATCGAAGGCTTTGCTATATATTTTAATGATGTCTATAAGATCTCCAATTCAAACTCAACTTTACCTAACGTCAATATTAACTCGTCGGTCTTCGTAAATATTACTCATATGTCTGAAAATGACTTATTTCTCGCTTTAAAAAATTGCAAAAATTCCCTAACTATGGGTCAAGATGGAATACCAAGTTTTCTGTTAAGAGATTGTGCCTGTATCTTTGTCAAACCTTGCTATAGAATATTCAACTTAATTCTAAAATGCTTCATTTTTTCGGATATATGGAAAAAAGTAATCATTTGTCCAGTGTTCAAAAAGGGCGATGTAACTGACATCACTAACTATCGACCTATATCTCTCTTATGTAATTTCGAGAAAGTTTTGGAATCAATTATATATAAATACATATATGTCTCAATAAGAAACGTGTTATCACCCCACCAACATGGATTTATGGAAAAACGTTCTACAACTTCAAATTTAGCCTGCTTTACTCAATATGTTTCCGTGGCGATAGATGATCTAAAACAAGTTGACGTCCTTTATTTCGACTTCAAGAAAGCGTTTGATCAAATCGATCGTTTCATATTGATTGATAAACTCAGACGGTTTGGTTTCTCAGATACTCTTATACAGCTATTTCGTTCGTACCTTTTCAACCGTGAGCAATAGGGTAAATGTGTACAAGAGTACGCACTTAGTGTAAAACTGTCAACAACTTTTTAATTTTTTTGGATAGACAAATTTTATGATATGGGTTCGTTATATACATGTTTAGAGATCAGATATATTTAATTGTACGTCCCAAGACCACTATATTTTAAGAGTAATTTCAATTTTTGTCAAGATGTGTAAATGCGCACTCTTAGACAGTTCATTGCACAAGAGTGCGCATTTGAACGCTTATGAGTGCGTATTATATTTTATGAAAAAATATTTGTTTCTAAGGTGAAAATAAATGGGAATAAGTGACTACAGACTACACATAAAACGGGAGACCTATTTCTTCGTACTCTAGGGGTCTTGAAAAGTCGAGAAAACGTAAAAATAGAGAGTCGGTCGACGGACTCGATTACAACACGCTCAGGAAGTAAAAATAAAAAAAAATCACCATAACCACCACCACACAACTTGAGAAGCAGTACAAAGTAGTAGAGTTAAATAATTCATTATCGTATGATATGTATCTCCAAGACTATTAGACTACGTATTGCAAGCAATGCGCACTCTTATACAATACCTCGCTGCGCACTCTTGTACATTTGTACATAACCTAATGTTTTCAAAGTTAAAAACTTTTGATGGATAGAAAGTATAAAACTGTTAGTGTATAACGAGACCTTAAAAGTTACAGCTAATGAAAATTATTACTGTAAAATAAAAGAACTGATACGTACCTTACAAAAAACTAAAACTATGAGCGGTAAAAATTACATCCACACAACGTGTGAACATAAAATCGTCAGTACGACCAAACTATAAACTATATTCAGGTCACTTTTGCACCTTTATCTCAGGTTTAGCATTAAATTCTGAATGATATAACTTCATCTTACCCAGATGGCACTAATAAGCAGAAATCATCAGTGCGTACTCTTATTATTCGCACTCTTGTACACATTTACCCTATGTAAAATATCATAACTATCAATCCGATATCACCTACTTCTGGAGTACCGCAAGGGTCCAATTTACCGTTGCTTTTCCTATTGTTCATTGATGATATAACAAATGCTTTATCATGTGAAAAACTTCTCTTCGCTGATGACATCAAATTATTTCTAAAAATTGATTCTTACAACGATTGTGAAATTTTACAACAAAACATAGCAAACGTTATGAATTGGTGTTCAAATAATGGTTTATTTCTAAATAATGATAAATGCTTTATTGTCACTTATTCAAGAAAACATGAGAACATAATCTTTCCTTATAAAATTGCTGATGTAATTATAAATTGAACGGACACTATCAAAGATCTTGGAATATTGTTTGATTCTAAACTTTATTTTGTTAATCAGATTAATGATATGGTAACTAAAGGATATATCGTATATACGGATTCCTATTGCAATAGTTCCTTAGCTTGTTCTCACAAAGTAAAATTAATATACAGGTTGTTCGACAATTATGTCAAACATATTAACTAATAACGAAACATAAATATAAAACTATATAACTATCAACAATAAAATTTTAATGGAAATAGTGAGGTTTTTATTTCCACATTCAATTTTTAATGCATTGTTCCTTTAAATTTCTAATAGGTATACTGTGTCTAACAAAGTTAAATTTCCATTATTTGTAAAAAAACATATGTCAAATCCTGTTATTACGATTTTACATCCTGAAAAAACTGGATCTGAAGCCGAAAATCAACGTTATCTGAAATAAGTGCAATAATCAGTAATCACCTTTCTTAAAACAATCTATTTTTATTTTTATTTAATGGTTTAGTAGTTTGGCCAGATCTTCATTCTCAAATAATTAATAGGTACTGAACAAAACTGCTACTGAGATAATTCAACTTGTTCAACTCGATATCATAACAGTAGTTAATCCATCATTTCTATATCCACTTATGATCACATTTCAACCATAAAATGCGCCATTTACGTCATAAAACCAAATTTTTCATACATCCTTTACAATATAATTATTTTATAGACCGCTGTGTTTTCAAACATCTATATCTGTCAATTTAGATAAAAAAAAACTTATTTATGTACGTCAATCCGATAATAACAATTAAAAATTCACTAAAATCATAATCGACAATAAATATTTTTGTAATTTCTTTGCAATGAGGACAGCTCTAATTTTTGTGCTCTGCTTGTCGCCAATTTGGGCGCTTTCAAGAGGTAAAACAAAACGCCCCATTTATAAAATTTCTACAAATAAAAAATTAGGTGCTCGCATAATTGGTGGTTACGAGGCTTACGCCGGAGAGTTCCCATATGCTGCAGCGATTTATAAAACAACAGCTGATGGCAACTACTTCTGCACTGGGTCGATTCTGAACAACCAATGGATAATCACAGCTGGCCAATGCGTGGATGGGTAAAAAATTTTACTTTGTTTGTTTTTACACTATCTGAAAATTTTAAAGAGCCATTCTGTTTACAATACTTGTGGGTACACACAAACTGACTGGCGATGAATCAACTGTTCTGAAAGTAGCAACAGATACTTACGTTCTCCATCCAGATTATAACCCAAACACTCTAGCAAACGACATCGGACTTATAAAATTCCGAGCCCCAATTACATTTACAAGTAAGTACGAAGTGATTGTGTATCAAATCTTTTCACAAATGCTGTTTTTAGCGTATATTAGAAACGTATATCTACCGTATGGACAAATGCATGAAACCGCAATTGGAATAGCTTATGGTTGGGGTCAAACCTCCGATGGTGTGTTGTATAATTTAACAAGAGTGTTTAATTATTGCTTTATTTGTGTAACGTTTTATAGACAATCCTGACCTTTCGGACACACTTACTCATGTAACGTTAACGGGTGTTTCTGATGCTGAATGTAGAATCACGTATGGAGATCAGTTAGCTGAAAATATGGTGTGTTTCGAGGGCAATTATAACGAAGGAACTTGTTATGTAAGTTCTAGAGGGGTTTTGTTTTCTGTAAAAACATGTTGTTTGTTTTAGGGAGATAGTGGTAGTCCCATTATTCAACACGTCAGCAGAGGATATACTATTGTTATTGCTATATCCAGCTTTTTCAGCGCAAATGGGTGCGAGAGCACGGATCCATCTGGATATACTAAAGTTTTCCCTTACAATAACTGGATAAACAATGTCACTTCAACTGTATAATCTGTTACATAAATTACAGAATAAAAATGTTCTTGTACAACCATTTTTGATTGAACGCGTCCTTAATAATAGGCGTATCATACCTACACAAAAGTGGTTGATAAGGTTAGATGGACGCTGAAGTACATATGGGGTATATTTGCGGACTCCAGGATTTGATCAGCAAAAGATGAGACTAAAAAACCTGCTCCTATCGTTTTCGCTCTCACAGTTTTGTTGTAAATTAAATCTTACATAACCTTTTCCTACAACGTGTTTCATTTTTACAGTGTCAGTTCAGCATTCCTGCAGACTTTGTTTGTCTAAGATACTTCTGCAGGTGTCGGAAAGTACAAGCGTACTGCATCGTAATAAAAGGGCGTTAGAAAAACGCCCACAATATGGACGATGTCGAAAATACCCAAAATCCTTGCTTATCTCGGTATAGATTGCTACATTTTAGTTCTACATACTGGGCCTAAACTGAATCTTTTGTGGTCTCCAATTTTTTTTCTGATAAATATATAAGTATTACATCACAATTTTATAGGGTTTCTATAAATGATTATAGAGTCGAAGTAGACGATGAACACGTGTCGCTCCTCAGTTTTGGAGCTTAATGAATGCCCAAGGACGCATGATAAATACCACATCCATCTATATAACTGGTTACCCAAATGCTTCATATCTTTTTAAAAAATAAAATTAATTCATTACAATAAAAAGAAACAGTTATTGCGGTTAAACATCATAGTAAATGTTGAAAATGTTCACCATTTTGTTCACTCTGTTTTGTGCAATTTTATATTGCAACAGGAATTCCTGACTGCTGAGGAAATCTTGTCGTCTCAAATCATAACCAACTTCCTCAGATACTGAAGGTTTTCCACGAAATTTCCGTTTGTTCGAACAAATCTGTTGATTACATTTCTAATGTAACCCTTTAACGATGTTTCTTGAATAATTAAAGCACGATAGTTGGCCAGATATTCTTGCTTACAAGCGGTTACAGAAAACATACACTCTTCGTTGACGAATGTCCAGACATAACAATGTAAGTGTCTTGTTCAACAGAATAAACAATTTTCATAGTCTTCGCTTCCCAACATATAAATAAAATTTTCGTACGCAACCACCAAGAGTTTTCAAAACGACTATTTTGTTGTTTTGAGCTTGGATCAACGAGAATTACTGATTTTCGCATTTGAAAAATGTTAAAACACTAAAAATGACGACTTAATGACAGGTCACAATTGACATTAATGACAAATGACAACTGTCATAATGAGGCATAATTTCGGCATTTTTAAAATCTTTGGCCAACTATGCCCTTAGAATCATTTATAATTAAAAACCCTGTATTAATTTTATTGAAAGTAAAATTTTGTATCTATAACTTTACATTAATAATTCTGTTGTTATAAGTCTAGTTTTTCGAAAAATATGTATAGTGATATTTTGGCTGCTTTATAAGTCTTTTGTCTGTATTTCGACTTCAAGGAGGGAGTTTTACCACAGAGTACTGTTTTGTTAGTCATAGTTCTGTATATATACATATTTCGCAGTCACATTAATGGGTCATCTCAAAGCGTTGTATTTTACATTTAGTAGGTATGCTAAGCAATGTCGGCTAAAAAACTAGCCGATGATCCACTAAAACTATGTCCAGTGTAGTATTCCCGATTTGCTAAGTACAGTTTTTTTGTTATCAGTTTTTTAACGTTAAACGACAGGCAAGTTTGAATTAGGCACCATTTGTTGCCGTAAATGAAACCAGCAACTCTTCATAAAATCTACCTGAGTGGACATGAATAAAGTGGATATAGACAATTACGCGGCATGAGTCATAAAATCGTCGCCTAATTATCAAAAACAAATAAGGCTCAAATGAGAGCATTTTTGGTGAAACGCATTTATATGCAAGTGTCGCATGAAAGCCTATTTTTTAAATGAAAAGGCAATGCAAAATAAACATTCAAAATATCGTAATTAATATGTAGTTACGGTGAAATAGTACGTACATTCTTAATCTACCATGGAGTAGAAATATTAACAATTATGTAACTCCAAATCTACCAGTTTCTAATATAATAATCAATAGAAAAGTATTCATTCTTCCGAACGTCTTGTATAAAATCGACTTCGTTGTTATAAATTAGAAAAATCACCCGAGAACCGCTAATTATTACTTTAGGATGGGTTGTCGGTCTTCCCAGAAAGGTTTTTGCCTTGCTGTTCGGTCCTCAAGTTTAAATATCGTCGTGGTCCTGGCGACAAGATCCTAAACTAACCACTCAACCGTGTTGAATTCAAACCTGCTATTTTTTTCGATAATGTTTTTTTAACTCTGTTAAAGACTGTATCACTAATTTTGCACTCAAACTAAAATCGTTTGACATATGTATGTATATTTTGATTTTAATAAATACATCATTATTTAAAAAAAATGTACCACTAACCACTGTTTTCAGGGACTTAGAACATGCAGTTTGCTGTAGTTTGATGTATCTACTGTAACGTTGATCGGTGAATAAAATCGGCGTGGGTTAAAGTCAAAAATTTTATTTCTCAATAACTCCAATTACATGACTAACTATAAAGCGATTTTGTAATGTAATAATTCCGACGCGACTGGAATGGATTTGACTAAACTTCTCTCATTGTCTGGACTACACAAACTGCTCCCGACGGTGGTTGCCCATTTAAACAGCCGTGTGGTCCATCTCGAAAGTTTCCGTCACCGCTTCCAGGCTTGTTCTGGAACACCCATCGCCACATCCGCTTCCAGGCTTTTCTCCGGCCGGCGGCACCTACAATGGGTCATCATCACCGTACATACTAGAATCCATAGCCGTCGTACCGGGGCGGCGTATGGGTTTATTTCGTAACACTATATAAATATCATTTTATTATAGAAAAGACGAATAAGTTGCTGTACCTCCTTGATTAAGTACTCATTTTGGTGATGCCTTATTTTTATTATCGTTAATGATCAAGGTAAAGGTGATTTGTGATTTTATTTAATGTGACGAAATCTTGTTGACGACATCTTTAGAAAAACTGTATTATCAATTCTATCATGTGTCAATAAATCGAACGACTGAGCTTTACTTTTTTTTGGTAAATCTGTATCAATGTCGATATTATCTCCTATTTAAAGAGTGAACAGACACTGAGGTCATCTGGATGTGAAGTAACAGAAACAAGAAATATTTTTATTCTTTGGTTTTAATTAAAATTGCTTTCCGAGTGATTTTATATCAATTTCCCAATTAGGACACCTATAAATGAAACAAAATATCACTCTATGTAACTATCTGTTAAACCAAAACTTGTCAGATTTTAAAATTTTTCATTAAAAGTACTATTAATTCTCAAACAAACAAAAAATTTTGCATTTCTTGCAATCTTACAAAATTATTACAAATTATCCTGAATGTGTTAGATTTATCTGATGGGTGATGAACATAATTTCGAGTCTTATCTTGGCAAGTACTAACCCCCTCCACCCACCCTTATTTTTGTAGAGGATATGTCATTTGGTAAAATCAGTCTAATCTTAGCTAGTGCTAGCCCCGACCACTAGTCCTTTATTTTTTAGAGAGTAGGTCATTTGGCAAGATCAGTTTTATTTTGGCAAGTACTATCCCCGCCCACCCACCCTTATTTTTTTAGAGGATATGTCATTTGATAAAATCAGTCTAATGTTAGCTAGTGCTAGCCCGACCATTAGTCCTTTATTTTTTTAGAGAGTAGGTCATTTGCCAACATCAGTTTTATTTTGGCAAGTACTAGCCCCGCCCACCCAGCCTTATTTTTTTAGAGGATATGTCATTTGGCAAAATCAGTCTAATCTTAGCTAGTGCTAATCCCGACCACTCGTTCTTTATTTTTTTAGAGAGTAGCTAATTTGCCAAGATCAGTTTTATTTTAGCAAATACTAGCTGGCCCACCCAGCTGCCAAAATCAGTCTTATCTTGGCAAGTACTAGCCCCACCCACCCACCCTTTATTTTCTTGGAAGAACAGGTCATCTGCCAAAATCAGTCTTATCTTGGCAAGTACTAGCCCTGCCCACCCACCCTTATTTTTTTAGAGAATATGTCATTTGGCAAAATCAGTCTAATCTTAGCTAGTGCTAGTCCCGACCACTCGTTCTTTATTTTTTTAGAGAGTAGGTCATTTGCCAAGATCAGTTTTATTTTAGTAAATACCAGCTGGTCCACCCGCCCTTTATTTTCTTGGAAGAGCAGGTCAGCTGCCAAAATCAGTCTTATATTGGCAAGTACTAGCCCCGCCCACCCACCCTTTATTTTCTTGGAAGAGCAGGTCATCTGCCAAAATCAGTCTTATCTTGGCAAGTACTAGCAAGTTTCTTTTTCGTTTCCCAAATCATGTACAAGGACCGCAATATGGAAAAGAAAATTTAGGAAAGAATGGATGGAAGTTGTTGCACTATTACATTTTAATTGTTCATTTTTTCTTTTCCCTGGTGATAATAATAATTTTGATTATTAATGATCATATAAATAAGAAGTTAAAAAAAATTATATTGTTTCTACATCAAATTTATTGCGTTTTAGTTACATTATTTATCCAGTCATTGTAAGGGAACACTTTTGTGTACCCAGAAGGATCTGTACTCTCACATCCATTTGAGCTGAAAAAGGTTGACACAGCAACAATAATAGTATATCCTCTGCTGGCGTGTTGTATAATCGGACTGCCACTGTCACCCTAAAACCAACAACAATTTTTTTTAAGAAAACGAAAATTTTACAACAATTTACAAAGCAAGTTCCCTCGTTGTAATTGCCTTCGAAACACACCATGTTTTCAACTAGTTGGCTTCCATAGGTGATTCTACATTCAGCATCAGAAACAGCCTTCAAAGTTACATAATTGAGGGTATCCGAGAGATCAGATACGTCTGTAAAATTTTATACTAAGTAGTACAACAGTTAAGCAATAAATTAAGTATAGAACATACCATCAGAAATTTGACCCCAACCATAAGCTATGCCTGATGTGTCGTCATGCATTCCTGCATATGGTAGATACAGATTTCTGATATATGCTGAAAAAAAAAAACTAGTAATATTTATAACAGTCTAGCATGAAATTAATTCCTACTGGTGAAAGTAATAGGTGCTCGGAATTTAATAAGTCCAATATCATGTGCTAGAGTGTCTGGGTTGTAATCTGGATGTAGAACGTAGTGCTCTGTTGCTACTCTATGTACAGACGCTTCATCCCCATTTAGTTTATGTGTGCCCAAAAGAATTGTAAACAGTAGAGCCCTTCAAAGTTTTTATTTAGCGCCTGAAAATAAAAGTTGATTTTTTACCCATCCACGCATTGACCAGCTGTAATGATCCATTCTTTGTTCAGAACTGATCCAGTGCAGAAATAGTTTCCTTCAGCTGTCGACTTGTAAATGGCTGCAGCGTATGGAAACTCTCCAGCGTAAGAATCTTGACCACCGATGATGCGGGCACCTAAAGTTTTACTTATTATAAATGTGTGACTAATGAAGGGTTTTGTGTTACCTCTTGAAATTGCCCAAATTGGTGACAAACACAACACAAAAATTAAAGCGGTCTTCATTGCTAGCACTATACGTTTCTATTGTCGTTTATATTTTTGGTGAATCTTTAATTGCTATCAGGCTGACGTAAATATGTGATTTTTATCTAAATTAAGGTAGTATATGGAAATTTAGTTGCTGTTGATCTTGATCCACTGGAATCTATAAAATAATTATATCGTAAGTATAAGTGATACGTGGTTTTATTTATTGCTTCAATAGCGCATTTTATGGTTAAAATGTGATCAAACTGTGGGCCTACGAATGTCAGATTAAAAGTTGTTGTGATCGGTACTTGAATGAGTCATCAGAATAAGAAATCAAATAAAATTTTAATTACTTATTTTCGGCACAATTTATTCAATCTTCACCTCTAGCTTTACTCAGCTGCCCAATGATAGCTGAGTTTTCTATAAACGTTAGACGTCGTCAAACATTCGTGTTTTATTTGAGCGGCACCAAGACTCATCGGTTTGAAGTTAATGCAGTTGCATACATTTTTTGATGCCTATAATTAGTACCGTAAGACTAAGAGACTTCAAGGAAAGCCCCAAGTCGGCTGCATATGCTACGAATAAGAGTGGACCAAGAACAGATCTTTGTGGCACACTACTTGGAACTCTGGGTTATTGGTGTAAAAAAATTATAAAATTTAAAACCATTTATTTTGAAAATCTTTACATTCCAGTTATATTATAAATCCATGACGTATAGGGATATATTTTCGTAAATCCAGACGGGTCGGTACTTTCACATCCATTACCGCTAATGAAGGACGCAATCCCCACTTGTGTTCTAATTCCACGACCTGAATCTTGCACAAGAGGACCTCCACTATCTCCCTAAAATTACAAACTTGAGTAAATTTAGCTCCAAAGAAAAAAAACTTACTTGACAAGTTCCTTGATTGTAGTTGCCTTCACCACATGCCATGTTGTCTGTAATTTGATTTCCATATACCAGTTTACATTCTGCGTTAGATAGCACAACTAAAGCTACCCAGTGGAGATCGTCGACTAGACCTGCTGTTTCTGCAAGTAGTTACAGATACTGCGTTATAAATATTAGCAAGTAAAGGAGGTTGGAATTACCATCATTATTTTGACCCCATCCTAGAGCCACAGCACCACTTTGGGCCTGGAGATCCACTACTGGCAAATAGTCGACCGGTTTCACATAATCTACAAATTAGACAAAACAGTGCTAGATTCTATTATTAACATAGAGTCTACCTGAATAAGTAATAGGCATTCTGAGTTTGATAAGACCAACGTCGTTTTCTAGAGTGTCAGGATTGTAATCTGGGTGCAGGACGTAGTAGTCTGTAGCTAACCTAAGTGAACTTTCATCATTTGAATTTAGATTAGTTATGCCCAAACGAATACTGAACAAGATGCCACTGAAATTAAGAATGTTATGTACATGCAAACAAAAAAATTAAACTTACTTCTCCACGCACTGACCAGCTGTTAATATCCATTGGTCGCTAATAAGAGAACCACCACAAAAGTAGGTCCCGTCGTTGGTATTTTTGTAAATGGCTGCGATAAATGGAAACTGACCAGCGTTTGCTATCTCACCACCGATTATACGAGATGTTCTGATTGCATAATACGACGGTACAAAGAGCAAGGGAAATAAAAAGACTATTGAGAAATAAGACATCTTGAAGGTGTGTGCGATTCTCGTTTCTTGTTATTTTATACCAAAAATAACTTTTATCTATTACCTTGAAGTGGTTTATTGCTTTTTAAGGAAATAGTACCTACTGTATTAATGTTTATTATGGTTATGAGTCAATATCCGGATTAGCTTTGTTATCATTATAATTAATTACTTTAACTGCATAGGAATATTTTTGTAATAAAAAAATAAAAATGCAATAATCTGTATTTTGTAAAGCTAGAGTTTATTTAGGCGGTACACCTGTAATGTTGGTAATCCAGTCAGAAAATGGGAAAACTCTGGTATATCCAGAAGGGTCGACGGTTTCGCACCCATTGCCACTGACAAAACTTGCCACACCTACCAACTGGGCATGACCGAATTTTAATAAATAGACCAGAGGACTACCAGTGTCTCCCTAAATAATAAAAAATCAACCAAATTTAACTTGTCAATAATGTACCATTTACCACACAAGTGCCTTCGTTATAATTGCCTGCAGCACATAGCATATTGTCACTAATTTGGCTACCATACGTTATTTTACACTCGTCATTCGTTATACTAGTTAAACCAACCCAGCGCAAATTTTCAACCAATTCCGGATCATCTGTTGAAAACATAACACAAAAAATCTAAATAACGTAATTAAATGTGAGTTATTAGTATTACTATCAGCGATTTGTCCCCATCCAATTGATAGAACGGTCCAATTTGGTGGTGTGTTAGCCACAGGCACATTGTAGATAGGTATGATATAATCTTCAAAAATAAAGGTTTAGCGTCTATCAGATCTAGAAATTTTTTTACCCGTAAATTCAATGGGTAATCTGAGTTTAATAAGTCCAATGTCACTATCCAGTGTATTAGGGTTGTAATCAGGATGAATAACGTACGTCGATGATGACAATATCAATTTGTTTTCGTCGTCTCCATTCAAATTAATTGAAGCCAGTTGGATAGTAAACGAAATTGCTCTAAAAGCGAAGATTTTGTAAATATATTTAATAAAGTCAATTAAGCACTCACTGATCCACACACTGAGCGGCTGTAATTATCCACTCGTTTCCATGTAGGGCACCACCACAGAAGAACTTGCTGGTGTCTGTGGTGACATGAATAGCAGCAATGTAAGGAAATTGTCCAGCGTTAGCTTCCCGACCTCCGATAATACGCGACTGTCTGCTGGCGGAATTCTTAAAGAAAAAATCAGTTAGAGATTTTTACGATTATGTATAAAAAAGTTACTGTTGTCAAAAGACCAAGTACCAAGAAGTATGCGAAAGATAATTTCATCTTGCTTAATTGTGTTTTACTTTTGTTTAGACTAGTTTATAGTTGAATTTTGATGTGTCAGCGTTATAGGCATATTTCGGAGAATTTAATCTTTTTTATCACTTGATAAGGGGTCCTAAAGCGCTAAGAGTTGCGTCAAGAATTTTGACTTTAACATATTTTATAATTACACAAAGTTTGTTGAGGTTACAATTAAGCCTGGATTTACTGAATTTAGAAACACTGTAGATGAATTAAGATAAAAATGTATTGTGTTGAAAACTTGAAGTTGTCTTCGGCTCGAGGTGTAAAATTGATACACAATATTCCAGAGAACCAAAAGCTTATCTATTTTCTCCACTGATTTTGTTTCTTACTTTTAATTACCAGTACTTTAAAGTTGTTGTACTTAAATCTTCTACTTTCTCGTACTATCTCTGCACGATTGAGTTCGAATCTCATCCTCGTTGACTTTTTTTATCAAATCATGAACGGTTTAGCCCATTTTCTTGAAAATTGCAGTAATGTCGCATCCGCCTATATTTTATAATAATAAAATAATTTTTATTACGATAACATCTCCTTACTCAAAAATACTCGAATAGTTTTGCTCCATTGCAGCTTAATTAATTAATCAGTGCTCCCCCAAGGGCTGCGGGGCTATTATTTAGGCCACTTGTTTATATCTCTCTAAAATAACTGTTTAGAGATTATCACAAAACAAAATTTCCTAAATTTTGTAATTTTTCAAAGAAGTGGGATTTGTTAAACTGTACTTCAGGGGCGAGGAAAGTTCTGTGGAAAAAAATTTGGCCCAATTTTTCTTCTATTGCTACTGCGACGAAATTCCGGTGGGACGGACGGTCCGGAATCTCGCCGATAACGTGTGGTGGCGGCGTATTTGGGTGCCAAGCTTTGGGCCGACTAGTGGCGCTTATATAAGAAACACGTCTGGCCAACCTAGGCTAATGCGGTGGTGCCTTCGGTCACGAGCGGCGGTTGCTCGGGCGCCAGCTCCCTCTCCGGGGGAGGGAACGCCGGGGTTGCTCTTAAGACGGAGACACGGATCTCAGGTGGTGAGCGCCCGCGAAAACAAGATAATAAAATAAAACGGCCAGCAATATTTTAAACAATAAGTCAGCTTTATTTCATGCCATCGGCTATAGGTCTAAAATAATAAATCTTAAAGCGAATTAACTTAAATAAATACAGATCGGTTTTACAAACAAAAATAAACAAAAAGAATTAAATCTCCGGCACGGTCGCTTCTCTTGGACTTGGGGGCCGCGACGGCGATACACGACGCGTGGACGACGGTTTCGACTTGTGACGGTGACGACAAAAATAAACGATGACGGTGGTACGGTTTCTCGCTCGGGGGCGGCGATTCAAAAACTTATTAATAGTAAGGAAAAAAACTGCAGTGAAACCAATGCCAAAAATTTTCTCACAAAATAATTGATTAACTTTTTTTTTATTTGCATACTTTTATTATCAGTTTAATTTTTACACTGATAAATATCACTTTAACCTAAATACATTTTGAGGTTACTAAAAAGAGACAGATGCAAAATTTTGTGGAGGTTTATAACTGGCAATACCTACAAGTTTGGCTTAGCTGTTTAGGCACTTGTTACATTTCGGATCCAGGAAACATACGGGAAAATTCTGGTGTATCCCGAAGGATCTGTACTTTCGCATCCATTACTACTAATAAAACTAGCAATTCCGCTTAAACAACCATTGCCCATCTTCATCAATTCCACTAAAGGACTACCTGTGTCTCCCTGGAAATAAAACAACAGAGTAAAATAAACAGGTCGCTAAATATGGGTAGTGTTTCAGCGTTTTCATACAATACAACTTCCTTGGTTATAATTTCCAGCAGCACAAAGCATATAGTCTTTAATTTGATTTCCATATGTTATTTTACACTCATCGTTTGTTAAAACAGTAATAGCGACCCAGTTTAATTCTTCGGCTAGTTCGGGATCATCTAACGTAAAATAAAAAAAATATATAAATACATTTTTTTTGCTATGTACGAGTATATTCTTGTACCGTCAGTAGTTTGTCCCCATCCCATAGCCAGCAATACAAAGTCAGGTTTCATATCATTGGCAGGTAAAGTATAAATTGGTTGAATGTAATCTAAAATACAAATCAAGCTTGTGGTTTAATTTATAACACTATCTATTTCCTACCCGTGAATTCAATTGGTATTCGAAGCTGAATAAGACCAATATCATTTTCAAGAGTGTTTGGGTTAAAGTCTGGATGGAGTACGTACGACGAAGTGGCAAGCTCTAAACGATTCGGATCTTCAGCTGATAAATAATTAGAACCCAATTGAATAGTAAACAGATTTGCACTAAAAGTAAAGTCGGTGTTCAAACAGAAATCTGTACTTAAATTACGCACTTATATACACATTGACCAGCTGTGATTATCCATTGGTTGTTATATAGAACTCCTCCACAGAAGTATCGGCTGTCATCAGTTGTAACGTAAATGCCAGCAGTAAAAGGAAATTGTCCGGCTCTGGCAGCTTGTCCTCCAACGATCCGTTTCTCTAAAATGAATAAAAATTAGTTTCACATTAATCGGATTAGCGTAAAAATACCGGAAGTTACAACTTGACTGTAATATGTTGCAATAAACAAACAAAATAAAGGAAATTTGAACATTGTTTTTGTTTGATGTTGGGCTATGTTTGTTTGTCTAGGCTTCGTATCGTTTAACTTGTCATGTTTTGGATTAAGATAACTTAAAACCTTATTTATAAGTTTAGGTATTTGAAATTATCTAAACAAGTAATTCCTTTTTGGTAAAAATAGTTGTTTCTTAATGCGTTATTGAATTTAAAAACATAAGATACCTTTAGTGGCAATAAGGGGGATATGATAACATTGATGACGTTGATGATTTTTTTTCATATAAGTTTTCAATAGAATCAATCATTAAATACTTCAATAAGTTGTGCCCTACTCGTCGCTTACTTTATGCAATAAATACAATTTTTACAATTCAGTTGATCTCAAGTATCAATATAAACATATTCAGGAAATATGTTAATCCTTTTATTCATACGTACTTTGATAACGAGGGTTTTTCCAGTGGGGTGAAGGTGAGTGAAGCAGACAGGAAATTTATATGATGCAAAGTGCAGTGATAACAATTTTAATGCAATAATAATAGCTCAAGTACTAAGTAGCTGTAAAAAGCCGAAAGCCTCTAATTGAGTATCATTTAAAGAGTTAATCCCAACATTCGATCAATTTTTAATATGCTGTTAACACTTACTAGTAATGATGTGTCACTTAGTAATGTTTAAATAAATATATCTTATTCTATTAATTATTATTATTGATTAATTGTTCATATTGTCTACTTTTTTCTGGAATTTCTAGTTTAATAAAGCACCTTCTGCGCTACGATGAAAACAATGTGAATTTTACAGATTTTTACTGCCCGAGCGTAAGCGAAGGAAGTATTGTAATCGAGTCTGTCGGTCGACTTTCTACTTTTACGGTTTCTCGACCTTTCGTGATCTCTAGAGTACGAAGAAATGGGTATCCCGTTTCCGTCTGTATATCTGTCCGTCTGTCTCTCCGTCAGTCTGTCTGCCATCTGTCTGTCCGTCTGTCTATCCGTCAGTCCGTTTGTCCTTTCGTCGGTCTGTCCGTTTGTTTGCCGTCCCGATTTTTATTAGACAGAAAGTCCGAAAGTACTGGGTCGATTATTGTGAAATTTTGTATTTATATTAGGAATATCAATACCACTAATAATGTGAGGACGTCACTACAAAATTGCATAGAATAACGTAGTCCGACACATATACATTGATGCTTATTTTCGAAGTGGATGCTTAATAAATGGAGATGGGCAATATTCAATTCGGGAATGTCAACTCACAATGCCAGCCCGACTAGGAACCGCGCACTCCACTTCTGCCACGTTTTCTGTTATTTAACTTCAATTCTATTTTAAATGTTCAATTTCTATGACTCTGATATTAACGACGACTGAACAAGTGTTAAAGTTTCAAAAGGGCAATAACATACATTTAAATTCGCCATACCCTCTTGTGAAATTTTAAACAATAATTCTTATTTGAGTTTAAAATTGAACATCAGATAACTTATATAGTGGAAACATTCATCAACAAAATATTTACAATACAAAACTTAGCAAAGATTTATAAAAATAAAAGATCTGGTGTGAAATAAACTTGTGCAAATAAAAATATTATGCGAGGTCAAAACTGCAGAGCATGAAATTTACGTTCAATTAAAATTATACAACAAAGAAAATTACTGAGGTTAAAATTGTGAATTAAAGAAATATTGTATGAGGTGGAAAATTGCAAAGCTAACAAATTTACATGAGATTAATATTTGCCACACTTTATCAACGATTCAAACAAAGAGTTTACATCATGTTCAATTATGTCTTGATCCAAGTGATTGGTTACTTAAAATAATTAACTTTGAGAGTTTGTCGTAAACTGGTGACCCCAACAAAACACATAATAAATAAACACAAAAATATCCATCGTTGCGAGGAAAAAGCGTCTCGGTGATGTAAATTTTAGCGTTGTGAGGAAATGCCTCGGTGACGTAATTTTTAACGTTGCAAGGAAATGCCTCGGTGATGTATTTTTTAACCTTGCGAGGAGATACCTCAATGATGTAATCAATTTTTAGCGTTGCGAGGACATGCCTCGGTAATGTAATGAATCTTTAGCGTTGCGAAGATATGCCTCGGTGATGTAATCAATCTTTAACGTTGCGAGGAGATGCCTCGGTGATGTAATCAATCTTTAGCGTTGCGAAGATATGCCTGGGTGGTGTAATGATGATAACTATGATAATAACGATGATAACTGCCCAAATTATTTTAAGCCCTCGCGAGTTAATTTAACTGTCGTAAATGAACTATTAGCAATCTTGTATGAAGAATTAAAAAGTGTTATAATGTAACACTTACGTATTAGCATCTAGAAACTTATTTATAATTAGACAAACAAAATGAAACGAGTCCTGACTCAGTGAATTTCATGAAAACTCCTAGTATTAAATTGTGTTAGCACCAATTAACAATTAAAATCCGAACCTGATCGGTTAATTTACAAACAATAAACAAAATTTACAGCACGTGTAGCGTCGATTGAAAATTAGCACATTTCCGATTTAAAAGCCGCAAGAATTAGCTGCGGGTATTGGGGAAAGCTGTGACGTCATGGTTACAATTAATTATCGTTAAACAAAGGCTTTCTCCTTTTATTAACTACCAAACCAACTAAACTAACCAAACTACCTTACCACGTGGTTACACTCACAAAAACAGACCCAGACTGACTCTTCGCCATGTCGCCATCTCTGTCCACCAACCAACTCTCTAACTAAAACTCCCTCTCCCTAGCGAGCAACCAAATATCAGGAAAAGAACTAAACGTGCACAAGGCGATTTTTTTATTGAATTTTTTTTTCTCAAATTCAAATTATTCAAATGTGATTTCGCGGCACTGTTAATTAAATTCAGCCCGAAAATTTGATTCGCATTCGGTCACCACCACATGAAACGTCCTGTAGTTTTATGTATTGTAGCAAAACGGTGGTCAGTTCGAAAACTTGCTGTGAAATTTACAATAACGACTATCTCTCTTTTTCACAGCCTAAATAAATTGTTTTTCTTTGCAAGTGTAATTCTTTTTTAATTATTTGTAACATGCGGAACATAAGATCGCCAACATTCTCAAACGAAAATTCGCCAACTATAGGAAAGCAATTTAAACAACAAACGGAAAAATTAAGCAGAAATTGGGTAAGCTTTATCCCCCAGCGATCGAGTTGTCCTCGATACCTACATCGTTATCTAATCACTTTTCAAGAGTATTTTATTGATATGCAACCAACAATTATAATTACCTTGCAATCATTTTCTTCGCGAAAAGCATTTGTTAATTTGCATGGAAAATCGATAGATGACTAGATGAAGCACATTTTGAAACACCTTGTATATTTCACCGTTTAGAGGCATTATGTCGTTTATTAATTCACTCATCCATGGCCTCTTTAGCACTAGTCTGTAAAGCTCTGAATTACCTTATCTGTTTGGTTTATCTATCCTTATATTTTCTTAATTCAGCACTCAGCAGACATTTCAAAAATACGTTTTAATTGAAAATAAGAGTCCAAGAAAGCCACATAGATATAGAAGGTAGTAACTGATGGATCCCATTTTGTAGTAAACGTTGCGCACTTTAAACTGAAACAATCAATGAGTAGAAACACCTATTCAGATCCAGACTATAATAATATACAGATTTTCAGTGAGTGTTCCGTAAAAGACGAGAGTGACCCTAGTGACGCCTTGTCCAGCAGAAGTTAATAAAACGAATACTGTTCCTTTAATACCAGTTGAAATTTAATTTTTACACTGCTGATATTTTAGGCTAAAAATCTTTAATACTACTAAAAACATATAGGTATATAGGTACAAAATTCTGTAGAGGTAGTTCAGAGTGGAGTAGATTATTGTAGGGAACAGTATCACAATGAATTGTATACTTTGTATTGCTCACTCGCTTGTTACATTTCTGACCCAGGCAACGTAGGGATAAATTCTGGTGAATCCTGAAGGATCAGTGCTTTCGCATCCATGGCTGCTAATAAAACTGGCTATTCCAGCTAAGCAGCCATTACCCGCTCTTATCAGCTCTACCAAAGGACTACCTATGTCTCCCTAGAAATACAACATTGTAAAATAAATGAAGAAACACAAGTGGTATATGAGGTTTTCATACAATACAGGTTCCTTCCATATAATTCCCAGCAGCACAAAGCATAGAATCCTTAATTTGATCTCCGTATGTTATTTTACACTCATCGTTGGTTATGCTAGTAATAGTAACCCAGTTTAAGTCGTCGGTCAGTTCAGCAGCATCTAACATAAAATTAATACAGAATAAAATTTTTGTTACCATTTTCTTATACCGTCACTAATTTGTCCCCATCCTGTAGCCAATAACCCATAGTCAGCTTTTATTTTGTTTGCAGGTAGAGTGTAAATGCTGAGAATTTGAACATTGTTGTTTATGTTTCTATTGGACTATTTTTTTTTTGTCTAAGCGCCGTATTATTTGACTTGTCATTTTTTGGATTAAGATAAGTTAAAACCTCGTAAGTTCAGGTATGTGGAATTATCTAAACAAGTAATTGATTTTTGGTAAAGTAGTTGTTTCTTAATAGAATAACAGAAAATGTACAACAAGTTACATAGCAACACTCAAGTAAGTTACATTTAAAAATAATAATAGTCAATTTCAGTGGTAACAGAATGACACTCTATTTACATAAAAATTATGTTACAAAATTTGTTACTGAAAAACACTATCCTTTTCAAAACTGAACATACAATTACCTTCATTTGTAACATAAGAACGTTTATGAATTTCTTTTAGGTATTGCCTTTCTACAAAATTTCCGAAGATTTAGATTTTCAGATTAATTCCAATTATAAGTATGAGGTATTATTTAACAACACACATTCAGTTATTAAAGTAGAACCCATCGGTCATTGTTACCAATCTCACTAATGGTATTGTAATAACCCAAACTTCCCGCCAGTTCGCAGTATAATGAACTTGTTTAACTGCCGTAAATGAACTATCAGCAATCTTGTGTGAAGAATTTAGAAGTGTTATAATGTAACACTTACGTATATGCATCCAGAAACTTACTTAAACAATAAGGTGTTTTCTTGACTAAGTGAATTTCATGAAATCTTCTAGCAAGTGGTTTATTTAAATAATCCTGATTGTTAAATCGTGTTTGCACTAGCTGGCGATTAAGAAAATCTAACTTAATTGGTGAATTTACAGACAATGAAACAAATTTACAGCACGTGTTTCGCGTTGACCGGAAGTCCGCATTTCTCCGATTAAAAGGCCGCAAGAATTAACCGCGCGGGTTGGAGACAACAGAATGACGTCAGTTACGATAGCGCTTACCACGTGGTTACACTCACACAAGCACATTCAGAATGAATCTACGCCATGCAGTTTCTGTCTCTACCAAACAACCAACCCTGTAACTAGAAACCCCTAGCGCTAAGTCGTCCGATTACCAAGCAAGCATTTCCGTGCACCAGGTTGCCTATGTTTAACGATTTCCTTTTTTGTGATTGAATTTTTTTTCTTTTATATTCAAATTATTCAAATGTGATTTCGCGCCGCTGTTAATAAATTTCAGCGCGACAACTTTGATTTAAATTCGGTCACCACAGTATACTCTTAGAAGAAGCGAAAAGATACCACAAAAAAACAAGTCACAGAACACTGAGAGGTAGACATAATATCTCAAGACCTACTGAGGAAGGGATATATAAACTCGTCGGAAATCTTCAAAAGAGTAAAGGGACCAGGAGGGATGAAATTGGTCCTGAAGTGTAGATGTTCATTACAGAAAATATTTATCTGTAGATATAGTAAATCAACTTGCTGAGGAGCCAATTTGTGGGAGTGGATGACTTAAAAAGAAGGAGTTTGTATACGGGCTTTATCAGTTCAATTTTCATACGGGCCCGTACTAGGTAAACTAGAAATAGAGCAATTAAAATAACGAATACTGGACGAAGGACAGGAGAAAACGAAGAACCAGAAAAGTTTTTAACAAAAGAACATGGCTCCAACTTGTTGTTTGGGGTGAACATTTTATTAGCAATTGCATTCTAATTTTTACACTGATGTTAATTTGGACTAAGGATATTTTACTATTGAAAATAGACATGTACGTACAAAGATTTGAGGAGGTAGTTCATTCATAATGAACTACGTACGTTGAACTGTTCACTCGCTTGTTACATTCCTGATCCAAGCAACGTAAGGATAAATTCTTGTAAACCCTGAAGGATCAGTGCTTTCGCATCCATTGCCACTAAAGAAACTAGCTATTCCAGCCAAACAGCCATTACCATATTTTATCAGTTCTACCAAAGGACTACCTATATCTCCCTAAAATTAGAACTGCGTAAAATAAATCAACACACATATATGGATATGATGTTTTCATACAATACAGAGTCCTTCGTTGTAATTTCCAGCAGCACAAAGCATATAATCTTTAATTTGATCTCCGTATGTTATTTTGCATTCATCATTGGTTAAACTAGTTATAGTGACCCACTTTAATTCATCGGTTAGTTCAGCATCATCTAACATGAAATTAAAAGAATATATACAGCACAAAATCTTTGTTACCATTTTCTTATACCGTCACTAATTTGTCCCCATCCTGTAGCCAGTAACCCATAGTCAGGCTTCATATCATTGGCAGGTAGATAAAAAATTGGTTGAATGTAGTCTAAAATATAAACGAAATTTGTGGTCTAATTTTCATTGAATATGTCCTACCAGTAAATTCAATTGGTATTCGAAAACGAATAAGACCAACATCATTTTCAAGAGTTTCTGGGTTGAAGTCCGTATGGAGTAGGTACGAAGATGTGGCAAGAACTAGACGGTTTGGATCATCGGCTGTCAAATAATTAGATCCCAACTGAATTGAAAACAGGACTGCACTAAAAGTAACGTTGGTGTTCAAACAGAAATTTATACTTAAATTACGCACTTGTATACACATTGACCAGCTGTAATTATCCACTGATTGTTATATAAAACTCCTCCACAAAAGAACCGACCATCATCAGTTGTAACGTGAATACCAGCAGCAAAAGGAAATTGTCCAGCTCTAGCAGCTTGTCCTCCAACGATCCGTTTTTCTAAAATAAATAAATTAATGTCACATTAATCTGGGTACCGTAAAATACCGGAAGTTACAGCTTTACTGTAAAACAATGCAATAATTAAACACAATATAGAAAATTTGGACATTGTTTATGTTTGTCGTTGGACTAATTTTTTTTGTCTAAGCGTTGTATCGTTTGGCTTGTCATTTTTTGGATTAAGATAAGTTAAAACCCTATAAGTTTGGGTATTTGGTAAAAATATAGCAAGTTGCCTAGTACATAGAAATTTTAAATAAATTGTAGTGTAAGTTACTAAAAGGGTTATGTATAAAAGCAAGTCAAGTTACGTAGTAACAGATGCGAACACTACGAATCATGTGTTACGGAATTTCAAAATTGGTCTAACGTTAAACAAAAAAAGCCACGACGTACTTTTTCTGTCCGTAAGGTATACATATATCGGGAACGTGGTAAATACTGCGCATTTTTGTCAAGTAAGTGTAGTAAGCGAAAAAAGATAAGCCGCTTCGTGGTCTAGTGGTCAGGATACCTGCCCGACAAGCGGGGGGGCGTGGGATTCAATTCCCACCAAAGCAGCAATTTCTTCGCTTACCCACTTACTTTCAAGGGTTTCTGACGATTTGTATCATTGGCCGTTAAATACTTAATTAGATCCCAACCGAATTGTAAACAGAATTGCACTAAAAGTTAAGATTTCTGTCTAAACAAAAATTTATTAATAAATTACGTATTTAGATACACATTGCCCAGCTGTGATTATCCACTGATTGTCATATAAAACTCCTCTCTTCTACAGAGGAGTTCTGTGTGACAATCAGACGGACTATCATCAGTTGTAATATAAATGTTTTGTCGAGGCATCTTCTTTTTTGTCTCGTCATTTTGTTAGATTAAGATAAGCTTAAACCTTCTAACTATAAATTCAGGTATGTGGAATTATCGAAATAACTAATTGGTTTTCGCTAAAAATGTTAATTTGTTTCACTACACGAGCAGGAAATATAAAGGAGCCACAACTGCCATAAATACAAAAATTAACTAATACCGTATTTGAAAATTTTGCTACGTAATCTGATGTGAATCATGTATTATTGTATTAGAAATGTACTAAAAATACAGAAGGGGGTCTTTTAGGCAGACAAGTTGCCTTCACTTCTGATAAAACCACAAGTTCTTCCAAGGTACTTAAATCTTGTCTCAATTTTTCATGGTATAATAATTTTGTTTCACACAGTACTTAGTTATAAGGTAATTTAATCTATTAATTGGTATGATACAATATAATATGGAACACAGTCATGGTGATAAGAGACTTTTCTCGTTTCTACTTCACAAACTCAAGACTTGTGGGAGGTCACCAACATAAAGCAGCGTCTATATTTTAATAGGTTTAAATTCCTTACAAAAAATAAAAAGTCAATTCTAAGGTTTTTTCAACATTCAAAATTCCTGCGGGTCTTGATATTTAAAGATCTAAAATTTTGTAGACAATTTAACCCTCTTGCAATTTGTTTAAACAGGAGGACTGAATTTGCATATTGTGAATTTTTGGTAAGGGGTATTTTCTAACATTTTCGTATTTGTCTTTAAGTAGACTTTATTTTTAAACCAAATTGTTTGGAGTTTGTCATAAGACGTAAGTACACTAAGAGAGTAGGTATTAAATTCCTTGAAAGCTCAAAGATTTCTAAAGAAGCCGCCGACAATATAAATTTTTGTACGACTTCTTTAAAAGTTGGCTTTTCATCTAGTCAAAAATTAATAATTTCAAAGAAGCCCATTTATATACTTCAAAGTAAAATAACATGGATTTAACATTCATGTATTTGTCTACTACCACGGTATTGCCCTTCCTCAGCTTCCTTCCGCTTCGAATTTTTTGGACTCGCGCTTAACATTTCATTTCATCAAATAATTTTGTCACTGTCTCCTTTTTCAACTCAGGAGCGTACATTCAAATTGCTATTATGATATTAAAAAAAAAATTAACAACTAAAACGTTGTTAAGTCAAAGTGGTCAAGTTTTTTATAGCCGTCACTGTAGGTGTCTTGTTAGGTTATCAATGAAATACAATTTTAATATACAGAGTGTACATAAAAATAAACTGCAATTTTCAAATGTAGATATTTAAGCTTTTTCTAATAGAATACCCTGTATTTTGTTTTATATTTTGTTCTATTTTTTCCCATATGTGTCGGTGTGTCCCTTAAAAAAGCAAAAAATCTCAATAAGTATAAAAAAACAACAAAAAACGGAATAAGATACAGTAATATAGTACAAGGTGACATATTTGAAACGACTGAAATATTGATATTTGAAAATTGTTATTTTTTTTGCAAACACTGTGTACATTAAAATCCAACTTTGTTTATACCACCATTAAACCCCGTATCTTTATTCATCTTTCCATTTTTATGACCCAATTTTGAAAATGACAATATTGCAACTTTTTGTAAACTCTTTTATTGTTAAAAAATTTCTTGGAATAACTTGACAAAGTCGTATTGAAAACAAACTATGTTTATAACGCCTAAAAAGAGGTCATTCGGAATGTATAAAAGAATATAGATAATTATAATATTAAAAAAATTAAGTTGTGTATTACGCCTTAAAAAACAGAACACTCTGTAGAGTTGAAAATAATTTTGGCATTTTGGTTTCCAAAGAACTATACAAATTTAATCGTAGACTTTTTTATATTTCTAATAATTAATGAGATATCGAGGAGCGGGCCCCTAGTGACTCACCCTGTATATACATAAACAGCTACTATTTTTTGTTTCTCGAGTGTAATTATTGTAATAGGTCCATCTAACAAATGACTAATACCATTTTTTCTCCACGTTTATTGGCACTTAAAATACGGAAAATATAGGTTCAATTTGTCTGTCTTGTTTTAACAATATCGCGTGAATGGTAATATCGTAGGCAACATTTGTTTCATCAGCCCCACCAACAATTTGATGACGTTATCTCAAAATTTTGCTAAGCAACTCTTATTTGGAATGTATACAATGAATGCTCCTAAATTGGTAATTTTTTAATCCACTCCTCTTTTTATCCTTATGTGTGCAACTATTTCAAAAAATTATGCAATAAAATTATACAACATAATGAAAAAAAAATCTGTAATAACACGTATGTAAACGGCCTGTTTGTGTTATTTATAGCAACACCCAAATAACCTGGTAAAAATTTTCGTTATTCGGTTTCAAAAGACGCGTACCTTTGGAAATTTGGATGAATCTCTAAAAACACAAACAACAAGTTAATATTCAGTCACTGTGTACAATCCATAATCCATACGTCAGTTAAACTCATTACTAAATCGATAAAATGCGCTCTTGTTCACCGTTTGAAGACCCGTAACCTTTGACCAGGGGTTTATAATTTATGGTTTCAGAGATTAAGAGACTTAAACACTTTACCTCCAAGTTGTAAAATTTTATTACTAAGGTATATAAAAATTGTGTGCTTACAGTACAGAAAAAACGTGGAGAGGGAATTAATTACATTCGACAAAATTTTAAAATATTTATATTAATGATACAACCCAGTGTAATTTGAAATATTCGTAAACTAAAATTTAACTGCAATCATTTTCTGGATCAACAGTGTTGTAATGCCTCAAGTAATAATCTGGAAGAGCATTGCGGCACAATGCTTAAACAATAAGGATCAAGGTCCGTTGAAATAATTTATTCCCTATTGTTTTAAAATTTTTCGACAATCAATTATGTTATAACACCTATGGATCAAACCTACAAAAAATTGCCTCCAATAAAAGCAAATTTGACGTATTGCGTTTTAGGTATGTTATAAACACATAAAGAAATAAACTATTCTAAACTGATATTAGATAAAACACACTTACTAAATCTTCAACTATAAATAAAAGATCTTTAAAATAACGTGCAGAAACTAGGTTACTCAAAAGCAAAAATTATGAAATCTCTGCTCTTCATCTGTGCTTGTGCTTTTGCCTTCACTTGGGCATATTCTCCACAACGAGGTATTGTAAAATTCGCATAAATTAAGATACTCATTCTAAATACATTTTGTTTAGGTGCCCGTGTCATTGGAGGCAGCACTGTGGTAACTGGCCAGTTTCCCTTTGTAGCAGCAATCCACATCTCAACAAGCCAAGGAAGATACTTCTGTGGAGGTACTCTTATCAGCAACCAATGGGTCGTAACCGCGGCCCAGTGCGCCCAAGAGTAACATCTAAACTTACTTTCCACCGCCTTTGTATACTGAAGGTTTCATTTTTAGTGCTGTCCTTTTCTCAATCCAGTTGGGATCACACACTCTAACCAAAGATGATAGTAACCGTGTTACTGTAGCATCTTCCGAATATTTCATTCATCCGGACTTTAACCCAGATACCTTGGAAAATGATATTGCTCTAATCGAGTTGCGCCTACCTGTCGAATTTTCAAGTAATACACACCCAAGGAAATATTTTGATTGTAATGATATTTATAATTTTGTTTTAGATTATCTTCTGGCAATACACTCTTTGGCCCAAGAACCTCTAAACACTTCAAGCGCAGTTATAGTTACTGGTTGGGGCCAAACTAGCGATGGTACGTTTCTACAATGTTTGCACAAAAAAATCTATTGTTTGTTTTTAAGCGGACTCTGCACTGTCAGAAAACTTGCAGTTTGTGCGAGTTACTACTTTGTCTAATGAAGAATGTCGTTTGACGTATGGTAATCAAATTTATGACACCATGGTTTGTGTTGACGGAAATTACAACGAGGGTTCTTGCAATGTAAGTGCTGACAACTTTAAATTTAAAGTTAATGTAACTATATATTTTCTGTTAGGGTGATACCGGTGGACCTTTGATAAATGTAGTCTCGATGGGTAATGCTCAGTTGGTAGGTGTAGCTAGTTTTGTAAGTGGAAATGGGTGTGAAAGTACCGACCCATCTGGATATACAAGAGTTTATCCTTATGTTGGATGGATCAAGAATGTAACAGGACTAGCTTTCTAGTAAATCTGGTGAAGAGCAGTAGCAAAAAAACTACATTTATTGTATTGTTTTGTTAAATACTTATCAACGGATGCAATAAAGACAGATTATGTTATTTAACACGTCTTCCTGGAATTACCCTAATCCTTTGATCTTATAATCATTGGTTGTTATTAAAACTAAATCTAAATGTCCGGAGTTCAAGATGATTGATAAAACTGTATGTAACATATATTAGTTACATTAGTGTAAGCAAAGCTTCTTTAAGTATAAATTACACACAGAACAAGATGGTGTTTTTGTGTAGTGCTTTTTTCTTTGTGACTTATCTACTTACACAGGTATCTAAAACTTACATAATTTGAAACACCTAGTGTAATTATTATTATTTTTAGGCTGATGCAAGAACTGGTAGAACTTTGGATAGCCAATTTGAATTTTTAAGTAACTAAGGTATTTTCGTAGGTAGTCGCATTATAGGAGGGAATAATGCATATGCAGGACAATTTCCTCACGCAGCAGCAATCACTGTCCAAACTAGCAACAGCAGAATTTTTTGTGGTGGTACCCTTATTAACAATGAATGGGTTTTAACAGCCGGACAGTGTGTCGATGGGTACTTAAATCGAACCAAAGCGTTTCTTTTTTAATTTATGTTTCACAGAGCCACACTTTTTACAATCCAGCTTGGAAGTAACAATCTAAATACAGACGATCCCAACAGAGTCACAGTCGCTTCCTCTGAATATTTCTTGCATCCTGACTACAATCCGAGTACTTTGGAAAACGATATCGGGTTAATTAAACTCCGTCTGCCTGTTGAATATACTAGTAAGGATAATCCATGATAATAATTGGAACCAAGATAATCCTTTTTTTTTGGTAGGTTACTTAAACAAAGTCCATTTCCTCGGTGATCACTACGTGGTACCAAGCACTACGGCCGTAGTAATTGGTTGGGGACAAACCAGCGATGACGATCCTGAGTTTAGTAACGACTTGAAGTGGGTTACAGTGGCGGCCTTGTCCAATGAGGAATGTCGGTTAACCTATGGTAATCAAATTACCGATAGCACGCTTTGTGTTGAAGGAAATTACAACGAAGGGTCTTGCTATGTAAGCAGATACATTTAAAGTGGTTTATTTTTTCTGATTTTTTTTTTCAAGGGTGACACTGGTAGTGGGTTGTTTCAGAGTGTTGGTCCTGGTTACATGATGCACTCAGGTGTTGCGAGTTTTATCAGTGGGAACGGATGCGAAAGTACGGATCCTTCTGGTTATGTAAGAACTGCAGCTTACAGAGCCTGGATTAAAAATATTACAGGAGTGTAATTTTGTAATGTACAACATTAAAGTTTTGATTTGGTGGAATTTATTTATTTAAGCGGTAGTCCTAGTACAATGTACAAATTCTATACTGTCAGTGTTGGGCAGTATCTAGATACAGTATAACCTCTATAATCCGAACCCACGATTATTCGAACATCCAGTAATCCGTCTGTTGAGTCTAGTTGAAGTCGATATCTCTTTAATCCGAACAAAAACTCTGCAATCCGAGCTGAACTTGAAAACATGCACCTATTTACAAAAATGAGGCAAGATCTTCTTTCTATAGGTAATTTTTTGAAATTTTTAAAAATTATGATATTTCAATGCACTGAATTAATTATCTAATTCTGGAAAAAAGGTTAAAGTTGTCGAAGAAATTAAGCCGGAACTGACTTCGTCGAAAATGGGTCGAAATTTGCTAGTACTTGCCAAATAACCTGGCCTCTAAGAAAATAAAAGGCGTGTGGACCAGGCTAGTATTTGCCAAAATAAGACTAACTGAAAAAAACTTTCGATTTTTTAATTCTACAATTCTGGCATTTTTCCGATTTCTCAATTATTTGATTTTTTTTTAAATCTTTATTTTTTTAAATTTTCGAGTTTTGATTTTTTGTCACCGAGTTTTTGGAAGGAAGTAAAAAGTAATTTTGATCAGCAATTTGCCATGTTTACCCTAACTTTAAAACATCTGAAAATTTTGTTTCTAATTTTCAATTTTTCAAAATTTCGGTCAGAATAAATTTGTTCGTTCAGTTAAAAAATCGAAAAATGACAAATAGTGAAAAAAAAAAATTTAACTTGAAAAAAAAAATTGGAAACTGGAAATTCGAATTCGATTTTATAGGATTTGTTTTTTTTTCAATTTTTCGATTATACAGTTGTACAATTTTTCGATTTCTCATTTATCCGATTTTTCAATTTGTCTGTGTGGTCGTGGTGACCGTTAATTGTCGAAGGACCTTTGGTGTGGCTCGTGGAGCCAGCAATTTTTTGACGTACAAAAAGTCTGCGTGTGCTTTTCGAGAAGTTTATTGTGGACTGTTACAAATACGGGGTGAGTTTTTTCCTGCTCAGAGCGTTCTTATTTGGCGCTTGCGCGCCTTACAATTTCACGCCCGAACATGCCGCCCCCGTTGAAGGCTTCTGGCTTCAAAAAACAATATACATATACACAGTTATAAGTAAATGAGATTAAGATAGGGATTAACCCCATAAGTACATGTCATCAAGTCATAGCAACTGAAAATTATACAGATAGTTGCTTAATACTGAGAAGAAACAAATTTGTAAGTTTAAACAAGAACATGATTAAAATTTCAGTTTGTTCAATTAGTGTTGTCCGTGTCACTGGCCATTGGGAGAACACAAAATTTCGACACTGCGCGTTTAATCACTCCCGTTCGAGTTTTCACGCTTACCACCCTCACAACCCCATCCCGTCCTGGATGCACCTCGACGACTCTACCCAACTTCCAACATAAGGGAGGTAAGTTGTCTTCAACTAAGAGAGCCATGGACCCAACCTTCACCGGAGGGGTCGGACGAAGCCACTTGGAGCGTTGCTGCAGATGGGTTAAATATTCGCGCGACCAACGTGACCAAAAGTGTTGACGCAACTGTTCTAATCGCTGCCACCGGGTTAGCCGCGGGATCTTTATGGCTTGTAGGTCTCGTTCGATGGGTGCCGTGAGTGGTTCACCGATCAAAAAATGTCCGGGAGTCAGGGGAATAAAATCTTTGGGGTCGTTGGACAAAGGGCTTAGCGGACGCGAATTGACGCATGCTTCAATGCGTGTTAACAATGTGTAGAGTTCCTCAAAGGTCAGAGACGAATTGCCGCAAACTCTCCTTAAATGACCTTTGAGTGTTTTTACACCAGCCTCCCATAAGCCTCCCATATGTGGGCTTCGGGGAGGAATAAAATGCCATTGGGTATTTTTCAGCCGCAATTGTTTTACAACGTTTTCGTAAAAGGTATTTGACTTTAAAAACTGACCTAGCTCCTTCAAATATCTGTTTGCTCCGATAAAATTGGTACCATTATCGGAAAATAAGTCTAAAACATTGCCTCGTCTTGAGATGAAGCGATTAAGAGCGGCTAAGAAAGCCTCGGATGATAGGTCGCTGACCAATTCGATATGAATAGCCTTCGTGGTGAAACATATAAAAAGCGCAATATAAGCCTTTGATGTTCTTGTACTTCTCTTAGGGCCTGTTTTAATTAAAACAGGTCCAGTATAGTCTATACCAGATCTCAGAAAGGGGCGAAGCGGTTCAAGGCGTTGTGTTGGCAAATCGCCCATTTTTGGAGTTACTACCCTTGGTGAAACCTTGAAGCAAGTTAAACATTTTTTAATGATTTTACGGGTGTTGTTTCGACCATTGATTGGCCAGTACCTTAGCCTTAAGGAATATAAAGTGGATTGTGGACCACTATGTAATTGTAATCTGTGCTCATGTGCAATGATAAGGTCAGTTACAAAATGGTTGCTTGGCAATAAAATTGGGTGCTTTACCGCATAATCTAATGCCGAATTTTTTAGTCTGCCCCCCACCCTCAACAACCCGTTTGAATCGATAAAGGGATCTAATGAAATTAGTTTACTTCTACGGGGCAAGGGCGTTCCCTTTTGTAAATGCTTGAATTCTTCCGTAAAACCTTCATTTTGAACTTGCTTCAAAATGAAGTTGTTTGCTTGCCTTAATTCGGAAATACTTAGATTACTTTCAGTACGTTTATCGTTAGTATTCTTCAAATTGTGGATGTAACGCAAACACCAACCAATTGCGGCTACTAATTTGTTGAGTGACGAGCACTCCTTAAGTATAACTCTAGATTTAACAGTAGTAACTAAATTCACTACACGTTTTTCTGGAACATCATTCGAAAATTGTTGTTTGGGTATAGGCCAGACAGATTCGTCTTTATTTAAAAAACTGGGTCCATTCCACCAGAGACTCGAGTTATTAAGCTGTTCAGGTGATCGGCCTCTGGTGATAATGTCCGCTGGATTATCATTTGTGTTAATGTGGTTCCAGGTACAGTTGAGGGTGTTTGATTGAATTTCCGAAACTCTGTTGGCAACAAAGGTTTGCCAGGTATGCGCGGGAGCCGATAACCAGGTTAGAACGATGGTTGAGTCGGTCCACAGAGTGCATTTATTTATGGTCATATTCAAAGAAGAACAAATTTTACTGATAAGTCTGGACAATAACAACGCACCTAGTAATTCAAGTCTCGGTAATGAAAGCGTTTTCAGTGGAGCTACCCTACCCTTTGCGCACAGTAACTGTACATTATAATTCCCATTTATGCCGGGTGATCTAATATAAATTGTTGCTCCATATGCCTGCAAACTCGCATCTGAGAATCCATGCACTTCAATAGCAGGACTATCGTGATTAATTATTACATTCCTGGGAATGGCGATCGTACTTAATAAAGCTAATTCCTCGATAAAATTACACCATTTTACCTCAATTTCTTGAGATACACGTTCATCCCAATCTAATTGACTTGACCATAACTGTTGCATGATAACCTTAGCCTTAACTACAACAGGTGATATTAATCCCCGCGGATCAAAAATTTGAGCTATTATGGATAAAATATTGCGTTTAGTTAGTTTACCTTGCGGGGAGTCCGCCTTAACGCAATATTTAAGTTTGTCTTCCTTCAACTGCGGTTGTCTCTGTAATTTGTTTTCGAGGTTGTAAAATCGTCTCAACGCAATGTCATATGAACTACCTAAATTTACAACCTTATCCTTGAAGGGGAGAGACACAATAAACCGGCCATCCTCTTTTTTACGAAAAGTTTCTTGAAAGTGTTGCTCACAGGCAACATCTGCCCTTGATATGACCGAATTACTGCTCACTTCTTCAATTTCCCAAAACCGTTGCAATTGTGTCTCTAAAGAAATTCTTGTTAAATTACACACTGTTGAGGACGAGGAGCTCGGATTTATGACACCCCCCGCGACGTACCCTAAATATGTCTCTTGGAAATGAGGCCGATTTTGTGTTTGGGTTATTTGCCCAGGCATAAGTATTTTCCAAAAGATATCCGCCCCAATTAATAAATCTATGGAGCCTTTGTTATAAAACTCTGGGTCAGCCAATTGAATGTTACTAGGTATTGAGATGTGAGATAAATCGAATGACCGGGCGGGTAATTCTGTTGTTATGTGTGGAATAACAAAGCACTTAATTTTCTGCGAAAAAGATTTATAAAGAGAGTGCAACGCGATGTTTGTGACTTTAGAGGAACAACTTGTACTACCGTTAATACCTACAATACTCAGTTTAGTTCCCTCGAAATCTAAACCTAATTTTTTGAACATATTTTCAGTTATAAAATTAGATTGTGATCCAACGTCTAGCAGAGCACGACATTCGTGCAATTTATGAAATTTGTCTTCAACCAAGACTACAGCTGTTGATAATAAAATCATACTGGTAACATTATTACCTTGCGAAACATGCGCTGTTGACGACGATGGTAGTACTAATTCTGTAACAACTTGTTCCGTACTATGTAATAAAGAATGGTGCTTATTTTTGCACTCTTTGCAAATACCAGTCGATTTACAAGAACTAAGTTGGTGCCCGGGTCGTAAACAATTAAAGCAAAGTTTGTTGTTTTTCACAAAATTTTTTCTCTCGTTTACTGATAACGCATTAAATTCGGCACACTGAAATAATAAATGAAATTTCTTACAGAGGTAACACACAGATTTACTTGCTGGGGTTGCAATATGCACCGCTGATCTTTTTATAGTTATAAGAAATTTTATTCATGCCAGCATTTTGATTGACCTTTTGAGCCGCGTTAATAGATTCTATAAACTGGCATCGTTTTTCCAAAAATAATTTAAGGTCGTCTAGTTTGCTACGCTCCTTACCTTGGGTTGTTTCCCATTCCTTTTTGGTGGTATAATCTAATTTAGTGTTAATGATGGGAACGAGAATATCATCCCATTGGGCCACTGGGACCTGTAGTGATTTTAGAGCTTCTAAATTGATGGTTAAGTTATCCAGCA